TCTGAGCACATTTATTGCGAATCTAAGCCAAGTCAATCGTTACTTCTTGAAATGTTCCCGAATACTACTTCAGTATTTAAGGCTAGAAAAAGAATATCATGCCAACTTGCTCGTCAAGTATACCTCTTTCAAAGCTCTTGAAAAGTTGAAAGAAAATGTTTTAGAACAATTAAGAAAGAAAAACCTTTGTAAACGAAATAATTAAAATGTTCATTCCGCCTCTTTCTCTCAAAGACACAGTAACACGTATTTTCATTACAGTCCACCAGAAATCCTCGTGTTGTCTCATATCAATGGAGAGCGATCGTGGCTGATATAATACAGGAGACCAAACGGCTGCAGATGGCGGAAAGAGAGAAGCAAATAATTAGATCCATTTGAGAGAATATATGCGGCCAGCAGAGTATGTAAGTTTCTTTAGTAGACAATGAATATATATGACAAAGGTAGCCAGTATTTTCTGTGCACAGCAGTCACTGGATGCGAAACTGAAGAGACGACATATTGAGATTTATCTCCAGAAGCGTTGACAGTCTAATCAAATTGGATAAGATAATAAAATCTCTTAGTTTAGAAAAATGCAAAGAGAGATGGAAATTTCTCATTAGATCTGTACCCCACCAAACCTCCAGAGTAATTATCAGTGAGCAGAGAAGCGAGCGAGAAATAAGATAGTAACCTCAAGACGAATACAGGGATGAGCGAGTCGAGTACCCTATAAGCTCTCTCCAATAAGACTATTCTGGCGTAGCCGTTTCTACGATGGCAGGTCGTTTTCATCTGCTCTACCATGTTAATCTCCGGAATATTCGTATGAAGTGCCGGGGTGTTTCGCACTCGCAATGAGACAGCTTCTGTGCGATTAGCGTCCTTCAGAAGCTGCGAGCATTATCAAGTCCATAGCTTTACATTGAGTGCGCGATGCACGAGAAGTACAAGAGTCGACGTCCGAGCTTAGTAACAAGCTACCGTCTTGTCCTCGTCAAACGCTTTGAGCCATCCACCACAGATATGAGTGCGAAGAAAGCTGCACACAGATGGAGCAGCAAAGCTTAGTTTTCTAGTCAGAAGAAGGAATTGTACCCGTTGACGCTGCCTCACCTGTCAAGTTTAGGAATTTAGACAAAAGCAATGCTCGAGATGATAGACACTTGCGTAGAGGTATATGCCACAAATCGCTTAGTTTTTTGTGCGTCTATGTATTCAACAAGAGATCTAAAGACTTCTATAATTATCGTGCGCTAGATGACTTATATAATAACAAACTATGTCCATAGTCCGAGATCGACATACCTGTGCTTATTGCGCAATACCAACACCGAGCTTATCCATGCGCGAAAAGTCACACACATACTAGATTGAGATAAAATAACCGAGCAGCTCGCCAATACATAATCGTACATCATCATATTGAACGTCACTAATAAACACAATCATATAGTCACTATCATCGTTAGCGCGATACTCGAGCAGTCTGAAAGCATTCACCTTCTAGGACTTTGGTGTGACCCAGATATTCGATAGAGCTCCAGACCTGATTAACATAAACGAAAGTCACACTAACTGCAAATATGACATACTGATCTAGTGAGGAATTCTTCTAGAATATCCAAGAATTTAGTCCTATACTAGTCTGCAAGACGTGCATATTGACACTATTATTGAGACAGCACTATCGTTCTGGCACTGCGATGAGGCTTCCTAAGATCTCAGTGTATATCATAAGTGTTTAGCGAAGCCAGCATAAAATAAGAGAGCGTCTCACCCAACACACAACCTCGTCACACGAGTGAAAAACGATTCCGCGTTTCTGCCGCGTAAAGTAATGGCCCACTATATCGAGCACCGGCAGGTCGCGCGACCACACACACCGTCGCAAGCGTAGAGAAAATTAATACGCATAGGGCAAGATTCAATGAATTGTGAGTGTTCAGAACTCAAAATACCTGAACATCTCCCTACAACGTTAATACACTTAATGCTTCACGCACAAGCCAAATTTGGCCTGGTCTTGTACTTCACTCTGCAAGTTCATTTGCGAGCTATCTAGTTTCCCAGCGTTCCAAGCCCCTTATCGAAATATGCTGGCGTCACAACAATAATGTATGCTATACGAAGTTATTACGTCCTGGTACGAACTGATAATAGTCAGCCAGAAAAAACTTATTGCTTCGTCCATGCTTGCTTGGCTGCCATGTACTTCTCGAAAAATTGTGAATGTTTATAGGGATTGACGAGATATGAGAAATCACTGCTTTAACCCCTTCGGACCTGAATTTTTCATGCAGGGGAATTTTTCTTCTAGCTATTGTTTATTATTTGTGAGCACATAGATATCAGCCACCAGCAGCGAAATTTACGAACGTTGGATGCGCGCAACCAGAGTCACCAGGGAGGCTAATTAAATATTGGATGTTCCTCCACCTTATTCACAGTTTTTTGAGAGCAGCGTATATAGAACATTCTATGCACATATGCACTAAGTTGTTGATTGCGACCGAACAGTAATATTGTAGGAGATCTTGCCGACTACTAAATAACACAAGCCTACAGATTTATTATCACGGAGTGATATGATCTATCTCATATGTCAGGCTTGCAGCACGTTACGCATAAAAAACACATCATCTATCTTAGCGCTGGTTCGCCGACACACCCACGGCGAGTATACGTGGTCTATATGTCGCTGTAAATAGCCAGGCACTGGAGCAGAAGAGATACGATCTTCATACTATCAAATTAATAAGCATTAGTCCAAAATACGTCTTCCTGATTAATAGGTCTATCCAGGTATCACGTATACAAGACTGCTTATTACCGAGCGCACAAGAACTTCGCAATAGGCGGCGCGATTCGACTGGAGAGAGTAGAGCCTTACAGCTTGGACCAGCGCGCGCTGCGCATCGCGATAGCCAAATTGCTCTCTAAACCATCACTCTCACACTGCCGACTTTTCATATGTCTGGAATACTAGTCTCACCAAGATAGGAGATTAAACGTCTCTCTCAATCTAACTATCAACGATGCGATTCACCTAGCACAGGCAGGTGTGACAGCATAGTTGGCATGGGCGAGGATTTGCGCCGGAATGCCTAGTCTGCGCGTAGCGAAGTGTACGCAATTGAAATTACCTTCCGGAGTCAGGACATTAACGCTTGACGACGACAGCTCCTTATGCGTGTACCTTGGCAACTTTTTTTTATTTTTTTCACAATCGTCATAACTTCTTCAATAATTCCACTACTGGTAATTGACTCACAGTTTTTCGGATAAGATGACGCATGCACACAGTTTTGAAATATGAAAAAGGCCAAATAAACCATAAAAAACTAGCCAGAATCGGGTAAAATTCTGACGCGCATGCGCGTCATGCTGTCGTCAACGTGTTAATCTCAAGCCCCAACGGGCAATACTAGTAATTTATTGCGTAAATCCTCCCGCGATGCGGTCATTCCTAATGAGTTACCGTCTTTTATAGACGGTGTAAAACAACACAGAAAAACTGCTGGACAAAAGTGAGGCTACAGTAATCGCGTACCGTAATTAGGTACCGATAGAGTATAACCGCGTCGCGACCGCACTCTATCGGTATCGTCGCCCAATTATCCACTTTGTGGATTGAATTATACGTGACTTATAGCATTACTGCTGCAATGTCTATGACCAACAAAGCACAAATCGTTCAAGCATGGTGCTGCAAAGAAATTAATGAATGACGTATGGCAGAAGCCGTGACACGTGGTAGAAGAGGAATAAAGCGTGCGCGTGGGAAAAATAAGCTAATGATGGAAGACCTGATAAAAAGTGTCGGAGATGGATGACCTTGAACAAGCTGGAATGATAAACAGTGATAAAATTATGAAGAATAAGCTAAAATTGTGTAAAAAATCCTAATGGAGGAGTTAATGGAGTGAATAATTCGATTTGGTAAGGTGGAACTGGAAATGGAAATTTGCATCAGGAAAACGTTTCCATACAAGTTTTGAACGGAGTTTGATTGACTGAGGCACTTAAGGACAACTAAGAACATTTCAAAGAAGAATTGCCGAGATTTTATTGACATATTAATATTTCAAGGGAATTTGAAGGCACCATCAATTGCGGCACTATTTCATCTCCAAGTGAGAAGGGTGAAAAAGTCCCCGGAAGGAGGGGCATGGCGACGCCTTTTGAAATATCGTTCTATGATCCCAAGTGAACAATTACTCTACTTTCATCGCTGAATCGCCTACACATTTCATCCCGGTTGAAGTGCTCGCCTACACAAGTAGACGCAGCGTTGTAGTTAAGCTGAGGTTTTCCCTCGCATCAGCAGATGACACAAAGCCAGTTTCACCAATCACACGCAGCCATACCGACACGGTATACGGTAGCGTTACTGTGGTTTTTACCTGTAGTTGTGGTAGTTGTGGTTGTAGTGGTGGTGGTGGTAGTTGAGGTGGACGAAGTTGTAGGTGATGTATCGCGATGGTGTCGTGATGGTGTTGTAATAGTGGTTGCCGGTTTGGCAGTCGAAGAGGTCGGCCGCAATTCGATCAACTCCCAGAATCGGATCGGCTCTTTCACATTCTGTTGGTCGATGTCCGGCGGCTGCCAGATACGGACACGAACCTGCGCAAGCGCTGCGCAGTTGAGCAGTACGAAAAGAGGCACTGAACGCATCGAGGATACCACAGAGAGGCTAGTGCCGTCGCCGAGACACTACACCTGACCAGGAGGGAGGAGCTAGAGCACTGGTCAGAGAGCTGGCTGAAATCGGAGCCGTGCCGACAGCTGGACACGAAGGCACAGCGGCTGAGCAGGAGGCGGGTGTTGACGAGAATCAGCGAAAAGTCCGCGAATTCTGGGAGGGCCGTCGTTGTGGGACTGGCGAGAGAGTGTACATAGGGGAGACGCTGCCGAAGGGAGCGTGAGATCGACGGAGGGGTGGGGCGAGCTGCAGCAACGAGAGAGCGAACTTGACGGCTAGCGCATCTTGGGGTCGAGAATCGATAGTCGGTATGCGATGGTGCTGCGGGCCGGCTGGGCCCGCTACGCCCCTACTAGAGGCCACACCACAGGGCCTTATCGACGCATTCGGGCCAATGAGTATTCGTCCTCATAACACGGTTCGTCTTCAGCTTCTTCTCATAGCCGATTTTGTATCGGCGGCGAAATTTCAGTTGAAATCACGAAGAACTCTCTCAGTACTCTGGTACTGTACCCATAGTACTCTCGCATTTTGTTGCTCGCCTCTTGTCGCGTATGACTAATTGTCCGACAGGAAAGTTGCGATTCTAAAAGTGTGAGGCGAGCACGCGGCGCAGAGGTCACTCTCTTCAAAGGCGGCCGAAGAGTTCAAGAAACCTCATTGAGACGTTCTAGGCGTTGCTGATCAGCGAGGGTGAAGCTGAAGGTGCATTTCTGGAAAAACTACGCGGTCTTGGATGGTCGATTAACGTGTCGCCAGTTTCGCAAGCCGTCTGTTCCGTTCAGCAGCTACGTCCGATTCTTCTGCTGCTTGACAACAGAATACCTGAGCTGCCAGCACTGTCTAGGTTTGTTCGTTCATTCATTCCTTCGCTTTTTTTGAGCTCTGACTTAATGTTTGGTGAGTAGAGAGCAGCTCCCAACGGGCTCGTCTACCACTACCACCGACTTTGTGTGTTTCTTTCACCGTTGTCTCGAATTTCATGTGTGTGTGCGAGCGCCCTTCCCTGCCAGCTAATGCATATATCGCTTGTTTTGCTCTCATACATTTTCTGGCTTGTTTTCTGAAGCATATACGTGTATATGTGTGTGTGTGCGTGTGTGTATATAGCGCGTATCTATACGTCTGTGTGTGTATTCATGGGATTTCTCGGGAACAGCCGCGTTTTAATACTCTCGTCTTGCAAAGTGTTTCTGTCTGTCATGATTGTCCAGTCGTCTTTTCCGATGATAAATTGTCGCCAATTTTGTGCATATGATGATGACGATAATGAGCGACGGGCTCTCCCGGTCCCTCGTCTCCTTTCTTTGTTCTGCTTTCTTTGCTACTGTAGTCAGTCAGCCGGCTCGTCGCCGCTTAACTGCCATCTTCGTAGCGTTTACGCACAGTCCACCGTTTATCTAAGAATTTTATCACCGCGCCTGAAGACGTAATAGACATTCCAGTAGTAGTTGCCGCTTAGCTGGCGATCTTTGTTCGTCTTTGCGTCAATTGGGGTGGCTCCCGGGACCCGAGACCGGATGTGATGCTGATGGCGCTGGTTATGTCCTGCAGTAGCTAGGCGTGAATGTTTTGAAGGATAGGCAATGCTTGTGTGAAAGCTGCGGGTGTAGGCGTGTCGTGATGGCTAATTGAATTTAACACCTACCTCTAGCTTGCCAGGGACTCCTTTCCTAACTAGCAACGACGAGACTCTCCTCCTCCTCCTCCTCACACCCGGCCACAACGGACATATCACGGGATTGCAGTCGAACGATGTTTGCCGGAGGAATTCACAGGGCGCTTTTCTTTCATGTCTTCCATGGCTTGTTGAATACGTAAACATCGCGTGAATGCAGCGGGCTGTGCGGGTCGGGCCCGCCAGCCGCCTGCCTGCCACCCCTGCTGCCACGACTGAATTCCGTCCAAATGGTCCCGAAATTGCCGGTCGTCGATCGGACACCACCAGCATGATTATCAGTTCCGTTATCACCACGTAGATGCTTTGTGCGGGGATTTGCGCTGTTGGCCTCTTTGTGTGAAGAAAGCACACGTGACAATGGCTGTGGACAACATCACAAGTCGTAGCTACAGCGGGAACTCAACGTGAGAAGCATGACTAAAACAAAAGCGACAGAAATCGCTCATCCTACCCTGCGTCCCTGACCTCTCCCCGTGTGGGTGTCTCGCCACTCTGCACTCTGCCACTAACTCTACGAATATCTACGAAATTGGGAGGCAATTCACAAAGATTCAGCAGCAGCAGCAGCACAGCATTATCCGGGGCCATGAACGCCTTTCCGGATGGCTGACTGGTGGCGGCGGCAGTGGCGGCTGAATGGCTACAGCTGCTGAATATAACCGGCGGCGACCAGAAGACGGCTTGATGACTTCCCAACGACCCGAATAGAGCTGTCCGATCGATGGGTTATTTAATTCGGTGAAAATTGAGGAGCTCGAGGATTGAGAATTGAGTGAAGGGAAAGAAAATGAGAGAGGGCTTGTGGTGAAAAGAGAAAAAACTGAAGTGCGAAATTCCGCAAAGTCGATGATTTCAGGAGTCTTCATACGCATACCAGCGAAGATGTGTTCTTTGTAGTGATCGCTGATAGGTGGGCGCTTTTCATATTTGGTCAGATTATTCCAAATTAAAAAAAACCTCAAAATGAAAATTGAAATAAATTTGCATAAGTTTGCCCAATGACTTGATGAAAAGTCGTTTTTTAAATCTTATTATTTCTCCTTTCATCGAAATAGTCTGATTTCCGTAAAAGCCGCTCTTCTAACTAATTTGTGGTGACTTTTCGAAAATGGATGAGTGGTTTATTTGTTTACCTATTTATTTGTTCAATGACGCGCGAAACATAAACAAGTCAGTGATGCGTAAAACAGAGTTCCTATAGAAAACATAACCGTAATAAAAGGTAAATGGGGGTTTATGAGTAAAAAGTACGTGAAAAGTGTGTTCGATTTGGAAGTCGGCAAGTATGTAGTATTATGGTCCCATGGGAAATCGTAGTCGGACAATTTGGGCAAGATTAGCCCAATATATAAAGTAAATTCCTAGCCATCGAATAGGAAACATTTCCAAAACGTGGGGATATTTATATGATATAAGTAATGGTAATGATGTGTTCTCTCTCGACAGAATATTATAAGTTTTGAAAATTAGATTTTTTTCTGATGAAAAATTCCATTGAATTACGTTGGAGAGCATTCGAGCAGAAAGATGACGTCTGGAGTCTTTCAACGAGGTGGTTTTTTCTTAGAACTCAGATGGCACTTGTGAAAAGAGCTAGTGACGTTGACGTCACTTAGTGCCCGTGGCGAACCCCCTTCAGTTGTTTGATGGGAGTTTTGATGGGCGCCATTATCGTTCAGGATATCGTCATGTCAAGTGTGGTCTAATGACTCAGTAGATGGCAGCGATTATCCTGAATGACGTATTGGACCCGGTTATATGTGTAGTTTTAGTAAGCTATTCCCAAGGCTCCTAAAAACTTATCGCGGAAATGCGGGAATATTGAGCCATTGTCAAACCTCAGCAGGGAATAGAACTCACGCGTATGTTTTTCATACGCTGTACTTACCCATTGCGCCACGGAAATCATACGTTTGTAAGTGTCTCAGCTTTCAACGGAGCATTACTCGCAGTTGCTGGGTAGTTGTATCGCGACATATAGTTTTTTATGGTCCTATGAGTATAGTAGAGTTTGCTGTTGGTTTCTATTCATGGTCATTATTTTCAAAATAATCCGGATTTCAAAAACCCGACAAAATCTTTGGGGGGGGTGAGATTTTGTATTTATCTAGTAAACTGGGGGCAATCATCGAAGGGTTTTGATTGTTGTTCCGAGTCGAAGAAGCCCTCATATCCTTGCCGGACTTCGTTTTCTGTGATATTGCATTCGTGAAGTGGCCGTAATAAAGGGATAGCTTTACTTGATCTGATCCGCTCAGCTTTGTCAGCTCCTAAGCACGCATTTTATTAATCTGTCCACCACCGTTACCAGATATAGCGATTGACCGGTTTTCCTTTTTAGTTCACCCAAAGAAATACGCAACCTTGCAATCAGTAACAAATTTTGTGTAAATGTGGCCATCGTGAATTTAATCTTCAATTATTACATTTTATGATAAATTATTCATTTCTGAAAGATCGACAAATAGACGTTAATTTTATTAGATTTTGCTACTATATTCCTCTAATTAGAATTCATTGCCATTTTCAACCACTAGAGAGAAACGACGAAAAGCCTAGCTCAAGCAAAATATTCATGGTACGATTCATGCTTCCGATCTGTTTATGTTACTCGATATCTTATTGATTTATTGTTTGATTTGTTTGTTGCTTGTTTGCGCCAGATTTGTGACCGCGTACGTGTGTTGCACTTGAAATGCGATGCAAAATATGGGATTTGTCTAGCGGTTGCAAAGCGGCCTGTCCAATTGAGGAAGCATTGAGTGTTCTGTGTGTAGCGGAGTTGAAAGGTTACAAGACTTCTGTCAACCAGGGTCCAGTGACATATCCGGGTGGTAAACGGGGGGGCAAAAAAAGACGCTTTCCCATGTCGACCGCTCCTTTCTTCCAGAGATGCTGTCGTGACGGAAATCCCTCACAAAGTATTCCCTTGAAGCCCCTAATACAGTAAACACGCACACGCCCTCCTTCACTGCCTCATCACCGCTTCATAATCTGACTATATCTGGTCATCGTCTTACCTCCAGCCTATTGTAACTGCTTACTGAAAGCTCTTAGCAATATTGCGCGATCGTTCAAATGTGGATATTTCCTAGAGCCTTAACTTCCCATATACAAACCCCTGGAAATGCTTTCAGTAAAGTCGTTAACACGATTCTTCGAAGAACCCCCCGTTAGCCGCCAGTGCACCATAACCCTTCGGGCTAATTTTTCTGATCTGTTCTCTGGTGCCACTATGAGATTTCGTAAGCAATAAATGTCTCCTCGAAAATGATGGAACGTTCGTTGCATTGGGGGCTCGGGGGGGCAAGTGTTTCAAATCCATCTGGGTGATCGGGACAAAAGTTTCTTTTTTATGGCTCCCTATAGATGAAACACATGTGCCTTTGTTAATACAGAGACTTAACTTTAAAGAAATAAAAGCAGATATGCCGTAAAGTGCAGTGAGAGCTTACCAGAAGAACACTGCAAACTCGAACGTTCGCCTCAATTTACAAAATCCTGAACCGTTGAAAACTCAACAACTCATTCCATGCAATACTAACGCCATTCGCACGCTTGTCTGCTCAAAATTTTTGTCTATACGTTACACTAGACTGGTAATAGGGTAATATTTTTGATAAGTGGAATTGTAAATTATATGAAATTGGCCATCGCAAGTAAGGGGGCTCCTCGAGCCCAAAGCTCTGAGGAGGCAGGAACTTTGGAGAGCATGAAAATTGCTATCGGACCTCAAATTCTCTCGTCATCCGCTTTGCGTAGTCCCGTTTTTAACACGTTGACGACAACGCGCGTTTCGGGTTTTTGCACCCGTGAGACCACGGCGATTTTGCAGCCGCCACCTCACATAAAACATGTGAATTTTGAGCTTTAACTACGCAAAACTCGGATGCAACAAAATGTTTCGAATGATATTCGATGTGTCAGGTTTATCAGAATGAACAGCTGTAAAAGTTTGATCGAATTGACGTTTTCTGGCAATGAAAAGGCAAGTTTCAGTTGCTTTTGCCGTAGTAAACCTCAAACTATTTGAACACGGTTGCTCCACTAAAGGCACGTACTGTTATATATGTAGTCTGCACTACTTCTAATTTTCTTACTTCATTGATCAATGCTTGTCCAGAATATGAGGAAACTAGAAATACAATTGGGAAATTCGTAGGGCTTAGAAAACCTTCGCTAAAAAGGAGCATATTCAACCATTCAATGACCTCGCCGTGTCTAGTCATATTATGGTGTAGTCTATAGAATAGATGCAAAAAATTAGAAAAGAAGTAGCGCATGCGCGAAAAAAATAAATATTTTGTGTGTGCAGCGCATGCGCTGCACACGGTCC